AAGTGTGCTCATCCCAGGCCATGAAATTTTCAATTGCTTTATATGCATGTGGAAGTCAGAAAATGAACATGGAAAACTAAAGCATCGATGATTTTGAATTGTGGTCTTGGTGAAGAGGATTGAATATATCATGAATTGCCAAAACACCGAATCTGTCTTGGAGAAGGTACAATCAGGGCATGCTTAGAGGCAGGATGGAGAGATTTTGTCTCACTTTCATTGGGTTTATTTTCAGGAGGTGTCAACTCTGCAAAAAGGATCATGCTTGAAAAATAGAGAATCAACAAAAGACAAGATGATCTTCCACAAAATAGACTGAAAAAGAGATCACCGTGATGGGTTTAAGATCGTGAGGATGGCACAGGATAGGGTGAGGTTTTAATCTGTTATTCATAAACTGGCTAAGAGTCATAGTTGACTTAAAGACATCCAACAGTAACCACCAGAAGTTCTTGGATTCTATTGAGTCACCTTGAACTTACTGTTACCCATGCGTGCATACAACTCTTCTATGAAGTTTTCAAGTCTATGATTTCTTAGATACCGTTTGCTTTCTAAAGTCCCTCTGGGTGCATCTGACTCATCAGCCTTTGGTTAGTAGTTAGGCACTTACTTGTTTGTTTCACCTAGAGCACTGAAGCAGCAATTATCTTTGGGAATCACAGACCATTCTTTGTATGTAAAGAATCAAATATATATAGATACGGACTTTGCAAAACTTTGAACAACCAAGCATTGACTTGTCAATATAACTCATCCTTTATATTCCACTAACACCCACAAACATTCCAAAGTAAAAGCAAGCTTTCAAATAAAAGAGAATAATGCTGAGGTTGCAAGATGTGTGAGAAAAAAGAACGTCATCCATAAAATGAGTATTAATAGCTAAATAATTTTAGACATTAACATAACAAAAATATTTAAAAGATTTTGACAATATCCTTTTCTCAAAATTAACTGTATTTTGTAATATTAGAAAAGTACATCTGAAGGTCTCAAATATATGAGTTTTATGAAAGTAATTTAGCAATATTTAAAACTGACACAGAACATTCTTTTCTTAGGGAAAGAATGTGTGAAATTGTGTCAAGTCAATTGAACCCTGCTGTGGTAGGCAAGTAAGAAGCTGATTTGCATGGAACATTGTCAAGAATACACTTTATTTCTATAACTGGGGTTTTAAAAAGATGGATAGGGGGAAAGTTACACTTAGGGGTATTAGCTTTATTCAATATATGATATGGAAAATAACTTTCTATTGTCAAGTTCCTTTCTTCACAGTAGTTTGAAATTATTAAAGAATATACTTTGTTCAACCTCCCTCAATTTTATGCCCCTTAATTAGTTTTGAAAAATGAAAAAAAAAATTAAACCAAACAATTAAAACTATCCTGCTGCTGATAGCAATCAGCAGCAAGATAGTGTGGGTTGTTTTGCTTTTTCCATTTTTCAAAACTAATGAAGAAGAAAAATGTCTGTCTACCCCCTTTCACATTGCATCAAAATGTGTATATTTTATATATCCAGACAAGTAAGTCATCATGAGTACTCTACCGTTAATACAAATTCGAGAAAAATATAATTTAGCTATTGTCATCATGTTTCTTGATCATATTCTTGGGGCTAGCAAAGAGTACCTCTATCTTTCATTGGTTACAGTGACTCTAAGATGTGAAGACACAAGCCTGGTGCTATGTTCATGTTTCAGGCAGTTAATCTCCAAGTAAGAATGTCTCAGGAAAAGCCTCATGGTGCCTTGAAGAACTATCAGAGGGAGTCCTAAACAAGCTTAAGGTTTTGTTACATTTTTTAAAAAATTCATTCTGTGGATGCATCAATATAAACATCAATTAAACTTTTCTTCCATAGCTTTGGGTACCTTGTAGAACAATTGACACTGACCCAACTGAGGTTGCAGAAAAGAAGTCACCTAAGCTAGATGATGTATACTTAATGAAGGCACAATACTCAATTATCCTGGGTGCTGTTTTATGCTGGCACAAAAGCAAGTGCTTAATAGATGTCTCTTGAGTGGATTAATAATTGATCATTTCATCTTGGGGGTGAGAGGTGGTAGCATATTTGCAGTGACACCTGGACTGCTTTGAGCAGAGGCAATCATCAAACAGGTATCTGAAAACTGGAAGAGAAATATCATACAGGGACAAAAAGCATGTACACTAAAGTGAGATTCTATCTCCATTAATGTCAGGGAAGTGATCCTGGGTAAGTAGGTAAACTCCTCAACGACTCAGTATACTTCTGTATAAAATCTGAAAATTATTCATCTGAAAAAAATAACAATACCTATCTTAAATAATCTTTGTGATTATGTGAGCTGAAAACTAGTATGTAAAGTGCTGAGAACAGTGCCTGGTGATTGTTATTTGCTTTACTAAAAATCGGGACATCATCACCTATCAGCAAATTATGTTTTATGTTATTTCCTTATTTTTTTATGCCTAGTTATCCTATACTCAAAAGCAATTTTTACCACATTGGTCAACAAAGAAGAGGGAAAAATATTTCTGAGACCTTCATTTTATAGATGAGGAAACAGCAGTTCAGATTCATCAAAGGGATTTTTCGAAAACCACATCTCTCATGACATAGCAAGTCCTACAATCCAGATTTACTTTCTAATTATAGTCCAATATCACCATTAGACATGAGAAATTTGAAAAAATGAAATGTATGCAAATGTTGAGTATCAATCACAGAAATACTTAAAAGCCATAGAACAAGACTTTAGCACTTGGATTTTAAACTCTTGTTTGGCAAAATATAATCAATCTGCAATATTTGGAAGGAATTATTTTTTGGGAAATGATTTAATATAGACTTTAATTAGACTACAGCATAGCTAATTCTTTTCCAGTTGCATAATTTGCATGAAATTGATGAAAAAAGTTTGGAGTTAACATGACAGGGCTAACTTATTGTGACATTATTCTGTTACAAGGAGGATTATCTCATTGTGACATCAGAAATATAAGGATATAGATTTCATGAACAAAAAGCAAACACTAAAACCAATCCTGCTATTATAAGAAAATTTCAGTCAAAACTCTTTTTAGCATTTTCCAGACTAAATATTGTTAATATGGAGATTTTGTGGCCTGGCAGTGTTCCATATCTTTACAGGTGCTTAATGTTAATGGATTTTAATGTTGATAATGTCTAAACTTCAAGCCATTCACTAAGTTGAAAACAGTGCTTTCATTCTTGAGTCTGTCCCATTTTACATGGGAACACAAATCACAATATACTCAAGTATCATTTTCTTGGAACATATTTTTTACCTCAACAACAGCATAAATGAGTTTAAAAGTTGGTCCTAATTACCAAAGGACAGCTAAGATCTTCAACCAAGCATGAAGGAAGTTCTATAATCAGACTCCCTGGTTTAAAAAAAAATCCTGTCATGTATTTATGGTTTTAAATTGTGAAATGACAAGTGAACCAGTGAATACTTAGACACTAGCTCAAAAGAGCTCTTTCAGTAGAATATATAGTCAAGACAAGGATGCTCAACTAGCTGTTTACCTCTTCTACTATTTTTTCCAGCAGGTACTTCAATTATACCACAAAGTAGTATTTGCTGCAATCTTCAAAAACAATACTTTCTCAAGAAAATGCATTTTAAAAGAGAAGACTGCATTGTAACCCAACCAAACTATAACAAATATCTCTAGGAAAAAAGAAAAAAGTTCCATTTCACCTAAATATTTTAATAAACAGAGAATGTGTCTTTATAAAGTCTATGAGAAACTGAAGTCACAAGATTAGTTTAAAACAAAAATTTACTTACACAAAGAAACAGTCTTCTCTGTTTACAATCAAGAGCAAAAAGGGGGGGGAAATCAAATCATATCATACAGACAGTATATACTGAGTTTAGAAGAGGGGAAAAAAACCTAGCATTTGTCAGGACAACCTTCATGATAGTAATAGTATTTTTAGAGGAGCCTCTTTCAAATCTGTTTTTTAAATCCTCTTCTTTAATAACAATATTGATAGGAAGCTATCCTGGAAGCAAAGGAAAAATTGCCCTTCAGCTAAATATCACATGTTGGATAGTTTCTCCTCCACATTATTGTGCTTCCCTGTGGTGAATAGCATTGTTTAGTAGTTGATAATATGGTCTTTTCTAAGGACAAAAAAAGAGAAGGGGTTTAAGATCAGTTTCAATTTCTCAATATTTAAGGATTTTTGTTTTAATCTAATGAGAATGTAATTGTTTACACTGTCTAGGAGTGATTTCCTCAAAACCCTTAGAGATTACTTATGTTACTATATTACAGTATGTTCATGAAGAACAGATACCATTCTAACTTGAAAATGAATTTGAAATTTAAATTCTTTCCAGATACTAGAAGAACTAGTTGGAAAATGATCTGAGTAAGTCCTTTAGAGAATGTTACTTGGTTCTTCCAAACAAAGAGTGAATATGTTAAATAAAAGATGAAGCCATTTTTTTTCAATTTAAAGTTCCTGCAATTACTGTATAAACAGTTACTTTTAACTTTATCAACTGAATAATTTAAAATAATGTTGATAAAATGGATTGTGTCAAATGAAAAGATGTGTTAAGAACCATTCCTGTATAAACATATAGACAGTTCTAGTTTAAATTTCTGATTTGCTTAACAATTTTTAGTCTGCTTAGTCAATCTACTGAAGAATAATTACAATTTGTTGATGGACATCTTTGCACTACTAGAAGGTGTTATCTTTTCATTGTTTTAATTTTATTAAAAGAGAAGCTTTCACATTATTACACTGATATGACATTTCTTTGTTTCACTTAATTTAAACTGTTCTATTTTTATCTTCTAGGAATCAATTTAGCCACTTCCTAATGGCCTAAAAGAATTTCACCCTGAATTTCTTCTTAGCTTTGTTAACCTTCATTGATAACAAAGCTGTTCTCTCAGCCAAAACCCCCATATTTATGAGTGAGCCATTGGGGCACAGTGTAAAGAAATAGATACACTTACCTGGAATTAAAGTTCAAAGAGCTGAAAACGCCTGAGAAAGTTTAAATAGTAAGGAACCTGAAACTGCAGTATCCACTACCATCGACTCAGGCTTTTTGGCTTCACAAGTGGCAGCAGCACCAGTCCTGGCCCAGCACTCCCATGTTATGTAACACCTTATTAATATTAGCCATCCAACTGCTACCAAGCTGGCGAGGCACTAGAGGGCAAGAGTGTCACATACAAGACCCATCGCCAAGGGACTGGCTTTGGTACCACTTGGTAAAGACAGATGCTAAGAACACTGATAAATAGCAAGATGCCCAAACGCAACAGTGAACTTGTAATGTGCCTTAAAGAATATTTTACATGTCAATTTTCTGACCAGCTGAAGGGCTAACAGGTTAATAAATATACACAAGGAAAAAGCCACAGTATGCAAAACTTTCAGGGTTCTATTTCCAAACCCAGTTACCCAGGAGGTTCTTTCGTCATTGTCTACAGAAAGTTATTTAAAACAGGAGTGGGAAAGATATTAAATAAAATGAATTGAGCCACCTTCATCCTAAGCTGCTAGAAACTTGTCCCGAGCGCCCCATGCTACCTCTGGAGTCTGCATTTCAAGTCGCCAGGTCCAGTTTTCTTGGGCGAGGACGCCCAGCGCGTTCTTCCCTTCGTGATTACCTCGGACTGCAGTGCTCCGCGGGCATCCTCAGTCTTCGGTCCTCGGGCTCCGCGGCTCCCGGAGGCGGCCCTGCCCCTCGCGCCGGCCGCGCGGGAGGAGGCGGTGGGTG